TGCATGCGGGACGCGGCCTCAGCATGGCCGGAGAAGCGGTGCGTCGGTGCGTGCCCAGGATCCAAACCCAGGCCACCAGCAGCGGAGCGCGTGCACTCAACCGCCAAGCCACGGGGCCGGCCCTGATAACTTCTTTTAAAAGGGAACTTCAGGTCACAAATAACCTGCAGAAAGTCTTCGGAAATTTTCTTATCAGATGAGAATGAAAAATATTAATAAGTGATGAAATGGGGACTGTCTGGAAGGTACCCAACAGAAGGTCCTCCTCCTGCCATTTTCCCCACCAAATCTCTGTCACTCCCGGAGGGCTAAAGAAAGGAAAAAACTTCATCCTTCACAAACTTCATCCTTGGGATCCCCACTCTTCCTTATTAGTTTTGTGAATAGAGTAGTGATTCTTTTTTAAAACTTATGTAATACATGTTTATTATGAAAAAATTTTCACACTACATAATTATATAAAATAAATGTGAAAGTCTCTCCCTCTGTCCGCCCTTCTAGCTATCACTTTACAGAGGTTGTCACTGTTAAAATTTTGGTATATTACACCTCATAGGGTCTACTAGACCTAGGAAGACAGGATCAGTCTAGATGGGAAGTAGGCTTTTCCTAATGGTAGGAATTCACTCTCAATCCCTAAGGCTGTCTCTGTGTGGCTTTGGAATCAACCCATTCTACCCCATCATGGGTTATCTGTAAGATAAATGTCTTAAACTTGGACACTGTGAGAGGAAAAAGAGAACATATGAATGCCTACTATATGCCAGGCTCTGAAAGAATTTATATGCTATTTAATACTTAAAACCGGCTGGCCGGGCCGGCCCGGTGGCTTAGCGGTTAAGTGCGCGCGCTCTGATACTGGCGGCCCAGGTTCGGATCCCGGGTGCGCACTGATGCACGCTTCTCCGGCCATGCTGAGGTCGCGTCCCACATACAGCAACTAGAAGGATGTGCAACTGTGACATACAACTATCTACTGGGGCTTTGGGGAAGAAAAAAAACGAGGAGGATTGGCAATAGATGTTAGCTCAGAGCCGATCTTCCTCAGCAAAAAAGAGGAGGATTAGCATGGATGTTAGCTCAGGGCTGATCTTCCTCACAAAAAAAAAAAAAAAACATACTTCAGAGAGAGTATGGCTATCTTCTACAATGAAAGAAAAGGAGGCTTGAAGAGCTTGCCCAAGTTCACACTCTCAGTAAGTAGAGAAGCCAGGATTCAAATCTAAGGTAAAGTTTATATCTATTCCACTCTTCTACACTGGCATTTTGCCTCTTTTTCATTCTTTTTTCCACTAGTAATTGTGGCCTGGCATTAAAATATGCTTTTCATCAATATTCTTGGAAATACAGTTTATAATTTGCTGTGTGATAAGTGAGATATATAATAAGGCAATGCCCATTAATGATTAGCGGGGAAAAAAGACTTTGATTAAAAAAAACACTAGGAAGGGGCTGGCCCCGTGGCCTAGTGGTTAAGTGCGTGCACTCTGCTGCTGGCGGCCTGGGTTCAGATCTGGGGCGCGCACCGACGCACTGCTTCTCCGGCCGTGCTGAGGCCGCGTCCCACACACAGCAACTAGAAGGATGCGCAGCTATGACATACAACTATCTACTGGGGCTGTGGGGGAAATAAATAAATAAATAAATTATAAAAAAAAAGACTAGGAAGAAATGTTCTAAAGCAACCCAGAAGCCATTCAACTTAGTATACTATCAGGAGGCATGCAAATACAGGTGAGGGAAGTTTTAGGAACACATTGTGGTAAGTATTTTATGAGATTTTAATGGTAAGTTTTAAAAGTAGTCTGGTCTCTTCCAGACCCCACTGTTTATTTTTAATTCATTCAAAATTTTCCTGTTCCAACCTTTTCAGTTTATATAAAGTTCTCTCCTCTCACTAAGTCCCTGGAGAAGTGGCGTCTTCCACTTTCTGTGTTCCACTTCCAACACTTAAGTTGTTGAAACTGACCTGCTGATTCAGGTAAAGTTACCTGCACTTTGCTCACAGAAGTCACCATTTATCCTCAGGGTTTTCAGCACTCTGTATCTCACCTGGTTTCCCTGAGTTGATCTTCCAGTCTCTCCTATCTCTTCCTTTCATTAAAAATGTATTCTGTTCTTGATGTGTGCTACAATATCAGCAATGATGCAGTTGGACTTTCTGTCTCAGCTGTTTGAGGAATGGTTGGGGTTGGACATTATCTTATCTCCTTTACTCGCTCCTACAAACTCTTGAGCTAGAGCACCTAAACCTCAAAAAGACCCCTGATCTTTTTAAAGTTTTATATACCTACCAAGTTCTAAGCGCAAAAAACCTTTTGTGCATGTGTGCATCAGAATTAGCATGGCGGGCTTTGGTTAAACATCAATTCTTGGACCTTGCCCCAGACCTAATGAGAATCTCTGTCAACAGCCTTTCTCAGCCATTCTAATTCCCGTGGCTAATTTAATTAATTAAAATTAAATGAAGTTTGGAGCCAGCCCAGTGGCATAGTGGTTAAGTTCGCATGCTCAGCTTTGGCGGCCCAGGGTTCACGGGTTTGGATCCTAGGCATGGA